GACCTGCAGATGATCTCAGCAAGGTTGAAGGTTGGTTATGATTAAAGCTCCAGGGAAGAGTAGCTAGAGACAGTAAACGTAGGCAAAATATCTGCAAAAGAGAAAGCTAAAGACAAGAAAATTGAAGAATAACCAGAAGTCTATAAATAAAAACATAAGCTTGGTTATAAATTAAGGATACAGACCCCCAAAGAGAAGAAAACTAGTGGCAGCTACAAAATGTGAAGAATTTAAATTCTGACACCCAGAAGAGGCAGGAATAAAGGTCATGGGCACAGGCAGGTAAATGGACTGTTTTAAACATTTATTGAAAAAAATAGTAAGGATCGTTGTGAAATGTAGGTACACACAGTAAATACACGGGCATATGAGGGAGAGTATACCTGGTATTAGTCATGTTATCAATTGTCTAATGAAGGGAAGATGAACAGTTTCATCAGAGCAGGTAAGAGCTGGAGGCTGAATAGGGCTTCTGCCTGTCTCCTCACTGGTAATAACGAAGCAGAAGTCTGAGAGCAAACAAATGTTTGTAATTTAGTGTGTGCAGCTCAGCCTTCAGGATATAAACAAAAACTAAAATTAAAAAGGGAATTGCCAGCCCCAATGATAAATTGGTGTGGAAGATTGTGTTTAAAAATGGCCACAATCACTGCCTTTTGTCTCTCCACGTGAGCTCCTGTACACTAGACTCGCCCCATCTAAGAAGCCTACTCAACTTCCCTTACCTTTCCTTGACTTTGGGCTGCATTGTGACTTGCTCTAATAGAATGTGGTGGAAGTGAGGCTTTGCAATTCACAGCCTAAGCCTCAAGAAATCTTGCAGCTTTTCTTCTTGTTTTCTTGCAATGCTAACTGCCAGGTAAGAAAGTTTTTTGAAAGATAAAAACCATGTGGATATGGAAGAATGACCAGCATGATGAGACCATCTTGGAGCCTCTAGCTCCAAGTTAGCAGTCAGATGGCACAAGTGATTACACCAGTAATCACAGGAATACATACGAAAGAAGAGTTTTTACTGTAAACCATTACATTGAGGGGTGATTTGTCATGCAGCAATAGATAACTAATATAACTGGGGTCTCAAAAGAGGTTGAGTTAAGAACATTTCTGGTTTTTCTCCTAACCCTATGATGTAATCATACTGTTTGTTTTAGTAAATATTTTTATGGAACTTTGAATCACAATGAACGTCTTAAGATGAAGAAATACATTTCAGACCAGTGTTTGGTACAGACTTAGAGGTGGAAAATAGGAATGAGTATGTTTTAAGGTAGTGAAACCATTATGTATGATACTATAATGGTGGACACATGATATTTTGCATTTGTAAAAATCCAAAGAAAAACAGAAAAAGTAGAGTCTAATATGAAATGGACTTTAAATATAATGTATCAGAGGGTGGGGCGGAAGCCAGTTCAAATTAGCAGGAGGGCAAGGATCCAAGTTCAAGCCAGTAGGAGGTACAAAGACTGTTGCAGGCTAAACAAATTGTGTTCCAGCCCTACAACCAGAAGCAAGCCTCAACTTTAGATTATCTAGTACCCTGCCAAAAATCTATCGCACTGGCTTGCTTGGAGAAATAAACACAGGTCTAGACTCTCTGCCCAATTTATCTACCAGTGACAGCAGATATACACCTTGAAGTAGACATTTTTTTTCTTATTTTCTTCTTTTTCTCTTTCTCTCTTGTTTTCATTTTTCTTTTCTTTGTTTTCTTTTTTCTTGACTGTTTATGTTTTTATACGAATACGAACACTGTTTCTAGTACTTTTTTGTTATGTTCTGTTCCTGTTTACATTTCTTCCTTCTCTCCTTCTTTTTTGTCTTCTTCACCAGTTTCCCAAAGTTTGTATGATCTTCCTGCATCTCCCAACCTTGCTGCTAATATCTTCTTCTATTGCTCTATTTTCCCCTATCCTCTTTTAACTTTTCTCCTTGAAGGTAAAATCACCATACTGAGGGGTATATTTACTATATACAATTTTCTGGTTTGTTTTAGATTTTGTTATATAACCACAAGTACAGTTCATATGCTTAAAGTTGGCAAATCAATAGTTACCACAGTTTGTTATTTTCTAGGCTTTGTTTGATGCTACTGTTATTGCTGCTCTATTTCTTTAGCCAGAGTGATATATTTCTTCTAATCAGTTGTTCTTCCTGGTATGCCAGGACTGAGATTGTCTGAAGGTCATAAATAATACTATAGGCCAGTGCCAAAAAACAGGGGCTAGGCCAAAGAGGCAGCAATTTCTCATCCCTAATAAACTGAATGGGTAGGTTCTTGCAACAGACTCAAAACCCAAAAGCCAACTATAGCTGGAAGACATTGCTGAGAAGTAGTCATTTCCTAAGAGTTCTAATACTAGAAATAAAGGTACTTGCCATAAGCAAATTGCAAGCACCAATCCAGGAATTAAACTAATAAAAGAAAATGAGAAGACACAAGCAAGATGCAACCCCAGACTTCCAGCTCACCAAAAGCAAACCAAGGTGGCAGTGAGGTGGAACAATCTGAAAGCCACCCATCTGGACTCTATGAAGTGGTAATTGGAAATAACAAAATAGCTGAATGCAGCTCTAGAAAAAAATTAAGTCAGAAATAACTTCTCAGATAGCTACAGATATGGTGACCACATGAAAGACTTTGTTAGTGACTGTAGAGCAGATACAGATGAAAAAAATACATGGAATCCATGAAACAGATTCAAATAGATATCCAGGAGATTAAAAATTCCATTGAAAATATATGCAGCAGAATGCGCTAATGTGAGGACTGGATAACAGATATGGAAAACAGGATTGCAGTTAGTGATCATGAAAAGAAAGATTTCTTAATAATAACAAGAGACTATGAAAAATCAATCCAATAGATGCTAGATGATGCAAAGAAGAATAACATAAGATTGACTGGAGTTAATAAAAATGTAGAAGGTAGCACAAATGACATGAAAAACTTGTTCACAGAAGTAATGGCAGAAAAGTTCCCAAGCATGGACAAAAGAATTTAACATACAGATAATTGAGGCATATATAACTCTATTTAGCCATGATCAAAAAACTCTACAGCAATGCACATAATAGTCAAGATTCCAGAAATACAACATAAGAACAAAATGTTAAAAGCTATTAGAGAAAATAAACAAATCACCCATAAAGGAAATCCCATTTGAATCATAACAGACCTTTCAACACAAACTCTCAAGGTAAGGACAGTTAAGAGTGAAGTATTTCAAGCCCTGAAAGAAAACAACCTCCAACCCAGATTGATATACCCTACAAACAATACTTCAAGCCAAGACTGATCAAGAGAGAGAAAGGTCACTACATCTGTTTAAAGTGGAAAATCCAAGAAGAAAAGATAATAATCATTAATATATATGTACCAAATACCAATGCACCCCACTATATAAAACAAATATTAACACATATGAAAAATCAAATAAACACTAATACTAATGTAATGGGGGACAGCAATACCCCACTGTCACAAGTAGAGAGATCAATTAGACAAAAAGTCAATCAAGAAATATCAGAACTGAACCAAACTTGAATTAATGGATTTAGTAGATGTCTACAAAGTGTTCCACCCCTCATAGGAATGCATATTCTTCTCAGCAGCATATGGAATGTTCTCTAAAACAGACCACAAACTAGTTCATAGAACATGCTTAAGTAAATGCAAAAGAACTGAAATAATCCCAAGGGTGTTATCAGACCAAAGTGCAATGAAATTAGAAATGAATGGCAAAAGAAACCACAAAAACTTCATAAACATGTGAAAGTTAAATACCCTCCTGAACAAACAATGAGTAACAGATGAAATTAAAGAAGAAATCAGAGAGTTTCTACAATTAATTGATAATGCCAATACAATATGCTACAACTTATAGGATTCAATTATAGCAGCCCTATGCAGGAAATTTATAGTGGTGAATTCCCATATTAAAAAAAACAAAGTGAACTCAAATATACAACATAATGTGATCTTCAACCATCTAGAAAAAGAAAAGTAAGTCAAGCCCAAAGCTCATACAAGGGAGGAAGTTATAAAGATCAGAGCAGAAATTAATGGAATTGAAACTAAGAAAACAATATCAACATTCAATGAAGCAAAGAGTTGGTTCTTGTTTTGTTTTGTTTTGTTTTTTCTGGTACCAGGAATTGAACTCATGACCTTGCATTTGCCAGGCAGGCACTGTGCCGCTGAGCTAAATTCCCAGCCCCCAAGAGTTGGTTCTTTTGAAGTTAAATAAAATTGACAAACCCTTAGGCAAACTTATCAGAAAAGGACAGACAAGACTCAAATCTTTGCAGTTAGGAACGAAAAGGGTAAAATCAAAACAGATCTTGCAGAAATCCAGAAGATCATCAATACCTACTTTAAAAACCAGTATTCTAACAAGATGGAAAACATGTAAAAATGGACAGATTCCTAGATACATATGAATTACCAAAACTGAATTAAGAAGATATAAAAATTCTAAGTAAGTCAATATCAGTGAATGAAATTGAAGATGTAATTAAAAAGCTACCAACAAAGAATACTGCAGCAGTATTGGCTTATCAGTTATAAGTGTGTCACAGTGATGCAAGGTTAATAATTGGAGAGACTGTGATCAGGAAAGAGAAGGTGTATATGGGAACTCTGTAAGCTAGCTGCTAAATTTTGTAGAAACCTAAAACTGCTTTAAAAATGAAGGTTTACTAAAAATGCCTTCTAATTCTTTTTAAACTCTTCTTAAATCCAAACCAAATTAATAAAAGGTGACACATGACTGTATGAGATTGGAGTTTTTTAGATACCACAAAGAGCATCCTGTAATTTGTCTTTTAATATGATGATAACTATACTCAAACACATGATATGCTTTTGGATCAGCTCTACAGATAAGACAATGTTATAAAAATATGTCAAATTTTGTCTATAGGAAAATACAAAGACATTCAGAATAAGCGAGAAATTGTAACATGTGTAAGTTACTGATAGAAGCGCTTCTTACCCCCAAGAAGAACTGTGAATATGTCACCATGTTGCTTTTGCAGAGTTCTGATGCAACCTAAAGGATCTTTCTGGAACTTCATGGTCACTCCAAAATAAGGAAGCCAGCCTTTTATCAATGGAGGTTCACCAGGTCGCCTATAAATTAAAAAAAGATGAATGAAAAAAAGAAATTAAATTATTATTGTAATATCAATATCTGTCCACTCTAGAAGTAGGTTGCATGAATGCTGCAGCTTTTCTCATTTCTCTTGTTTAATGGTTATTATATAGTGATGTGTTTACTGAGCTTCTCCTGGGGTAGACAGCTTAATTCACAACTTTTGCTGAGTAACTTCTGAGAAATTCTATCTCTCAAGGCTTCAATGGCTGCTTGACAGTTAAGTAGCAATGTGTTTTATTTCTTTTTTTAATGTTCATTTTCTTGTCATCATAAATAGTCATTTGTAGACCACAAAGTCTGTGACTAAAGGGATCTCTAGGAAACTCAACCAACTGTTTGAATAATTTGCTTTGTGACTTTCAATTTGGTATAATGGTGATAAAAATGAAATGGTCAGATGCCTGATTTTCTTGGTCTTTCACAACTCATGTTAAAATGCTGCCTGGTAAATTTAGTCAATAAAACTCAAACCTAGTTTTGGCTGACATTTGTGATTGCTTACTATGAGCTTGGTGAGCTGCTATCGGCTGGGACTAATCTAAGGTCTAGTTAAGCTGCCTTTTGGAAATCATGTAAATGACATATTTGAATTATTGGTTATTTTATTTTACATTAGCTTAATCAAACTAATCCACCTCATTTTAAATCCAAATCGATGGGTAGAGATTTATACTTTTCCACAAATATAGATTATGAGTTGTTTTAGTTTGAAGAAATCTTCAACTATAGTGTTATACATCAAGGCCTTTGGGGGATGATGCATTGAAATATACTAAACAAAAGCATGTTCTATTTATTGTGCTAAATGGAAGCATGTTCTATTTATTGTGCAATTTTTCACTGTTTGTATTTAGCAAAGATCTTAGAATTAGATGGCACCTTTGGAGCTTTAGTGTAATATCTCATTTTTGTAAGGAAGATCTCAGGATTAAGAGGTCAACAAATCTGCCTAAAGTCATGCACCTGCATAGAGACAAGCTGCACAAAAGGATGCAAATCCTGGAGCACTACAGCTTCTCTCTGAACCCCCTGGGGACATGAGTCAGTCGACCTATGAACTTTGTAAAAGGTAAAAAAAAAAAAAATTGAAATCAAAGCAGCTCCTGGCCAGAAATGACAGACACATGCAGTGAACACAACACCCGTGTGAATCTGAGAGCTCTTGCTGTGCGCTGGGTGTTAGATGTCTGGTAGCAGTTGCCAGAGTACAACTCCTCATTGTAAGATGTCAATTAGACTGGAATGGCATAATCAGAAGAGGGACAATTAATAAAACCTGCAAAATATTTTATGCTCTTGAGAACAATGAAAACCTCAAACCTATATCCATGAGTTATATATTTTTGCTATATTCTTTTATGATGCATTTAGTTGAAATTATAAATGAATAGAATTGTTAAATTTTCCTAAAAATGTCACTTTTTAATAAAGCATTTCTTAAAATACCATGAGTTACAAAGCAAGATTTTTTTGTTTCTTGATCTGTCATTCTAAAACTCCTGTATTTCAAAATTTTTTCCTAGTTATTTATTTGGTATACTCAATCTAAATATATATAAAAAAACCAAAACAAACAAAAGCCATTTTTATCCTAGAAAGGATTAAAGCAAACATTCAAAAGAACTCTGATTCTCTGGTCCATCTGTGAGATGATTTATACTACATGCAAACCATTTTGATTAATCACAAGATATTACTAGCTCAGATCTAATCTAAGATCAAGATTATGATCATGTCAGCATGGACTTTTATGTAGCTGGATTAACTCTATCAGAAGCTTTTATTTTCCCACAACTCAACATCATAGAATTAAAAAAAAAAAAAAAACAGATCTTTCAGGGGGACGAATTAAATCAAAATCAGTAAGAGTGTGGCAGAAGTCAGATTCTGCTCTATCTTTTAGAAGACAATGTATCTTAATGGTAATTTATAAAATATATGCTGCTGCTTAAATAGATAGAAACAAGAAATATAGCATAAACTTAAAATCATATTCTTCATACTTTTTCTTATCATTTACCTGAATATAACTCTCTAATAATGAAGACTTGCTTTTTGGGAAATTTAAAAATATCAAGAAAACAGTGTAATAGTTGATTTTATATGCAAAGATTAAACAAGAAGAGACCCCACATATGCTTGGAGAGTAAGATACTCATGTTGGAAACTGTCACAGGTCACATGTTATCCATGCTCCTTTCAAATTTGTAGTTGGTCTAACTCATAAAACTTCTTTTCAAAGTATTAGTACTTTTCTGTGGTCCTCACTGGCTAATATGTTTGGCTTAATGTTGCACTGTGACAACAATTTAGAAAGGTTCTTTGGTCACATTCTAATTCAGTACAATTAATGCCCTCCTCTATGCTGTCATTTGGTTCCAATCTGTATTCTTCATAGGCTTCCTCAGATGAAGAAGATTCGACTCAAGAGATCCTCAAGAATATTAACGTTCAGCGTGAGGGAAGCATATTAGGAAGCCATTTTATTGTTACTTAGATGAGAAGGTCATCATTTCTTACAGCTGTATTTATTTTGGCACTAGTAGGCTTAAGACTATTAAACACCATGTCACAACTGTGCATTGTTTTAGGAAAAAATATAGAGCTAGTTCAACTTATGACCCATTCAAGACAGATAACAGAAATCTGTCTTCATCAGTATATTTGTAAAAATTATTTAGGGAGGAGAGACATCACCATAACGACCCAGAAAGGCCTGTTGACACAGGGCACTGTGAAAATGCTGCTATTTGTCTTCCTCATGCTCAGTGATTTTGAGAATGAAATATTTAATGCCCACTGCTGAATGAGGATATAGGGTGTTGAGCGCGTGTTGGGGATCATCAAATTCCAAAGCTTGAAGGAAACAGGTCCTAAAATAATGATGGGTAGTTAAAAACATTTACAGTCCATACACTTTCTTAATCTCAGTTAAATAATACACACTTTCTCAAATCTTTTCATTAGTATTTAAGGGACTACAAGGACACATGAAAGAAGTCATACAAATTAGAGCTTATACATGTTCTCAAAGACTAAAATCAAGTTCTATAAACACACCATTGCATCAGCACTTGGAATTTCTTCCATATATGTGAAAGGACATATTTTAAAATTTATGCAATACAATAAGCAAGAGATCTGGAAATAAATATTGAATAATATTAGAAATAAGTATTAAATAAGACTCTAATAACACAGGATGGCTATAAAATATAAAAAGATGTTTAATACATGTCTCTTTGGTTAAACAGAACGGCATTGACATTAGAAAAGCAGACCAACACTGAATATTTGCTTTCTTACAATATTTGAGATTCATCTTTATGCTACCCCTATAGTTATATTTACAGGTGTTAATACTTAGATCTGAAATGTTCTCGAAAAGTCACCTATGTGTGGAAGGTGACTGGCTAATGGGGGTGCTATAATCCACTGATGAATTCGCAGATGAATTAGCTGCTAGGGGGTGGGGCCTGGTCAGCAGTTTACTGGGGGTGTAACCTGGCAGGGTATCTCTCCCTCCCCAGCTCCTGCCTTTTCTCTCTGCTTCCTGGCTGCTATGAGAGAAGCAGCTTTCCTCCACCCACGTCTTTCCACCGTGTTCTTCCTGTCTTGAAGCCTGCTGACCACGACCATGGCATGAAACTTCTGAAACTAAACCATAACAAATCTAACTTCTTTTGAGTTGCAAGTTCAGGTACTGTGTCTCAGCAACAATGGAAGTAGCTAAAATAATAGGTTAAGAAACTTGGCCAGTAACTATTGCTCATTGCTCTCCTACTTTTAAAGGCCAGTACTGACCACAGCAATCTATTCTTGTTCAATTTAACCTTTCCCTTTATTTCCCCAATCACTCTGGGTTAAGTGTTAGATTGTCGCAACACTCTCCAAGTTAGTGAGCAACCTTTAAACACACATACCAATTCAGTAAAAATAAAGTTATGTACTCATTAAAAGTTGTTAAAGACACTGTAATTAGGTGATCTACTACCTATAACAGCATCTTAACCATTTTATTGTTTTTCTTAATGAATGACAACTTCTCTACCTGCATGTCTAGAATTTGAGAAAGTACACAACTGATATACATTACAGAATCTGACTGCAGCACTGACCTTTTGAACAAACTTTGCTGTTGGATAAGGCACTTTTGAAGCTGCTTTATTTTTCCTTGACCTACTTTGGAAGCTACTTCACTGGAAAATGAAATTTGCCTCACAGTGTCTCTCAGAATCAAGTTCTTTGAATATCCACTAATTCTGGACTCTGACATGGGCATAAGTCTGCCTAAAATGCTTCCACAACTCTTCATAATCATGTCTTGGCAAGCTTTTCTACATACAGAGGACGACGGCTCTCATTACAAGGCTTCCCAAAGAAGTAGATGGATGGCGTGGCTGTCTGTTAGGATGCTAGCAGCTTCAACAGCCTCAGTGGGAGCTGAGGTGGTGCCAAGGAAGCATGGGCAACAATGCAGTTCTTTGGCTACAAAAGAAGTGGGAGATTCAACCAGCTGGGGACACCTTAGTAACTAATGCAAAGCGGGTGAGCCATGGCCAAAGACCTCGCCAGCATGCCACCTCAGGGAAGTCCGAAAAGACCAATGTGTACATTGCAGAACAGGACTCAGCCAATAACAGAAGGAAAAGGGAAAGGGAATTCTAAAATTTACTTTATGTTTATATAAAAGAGATTACATTTTAAATTAGAAGTGACTCAACTACAGATCACTGGAAATAATTCAGTACTTTCTGCCATCTACAAAAACATAGGCTTATGAGAAATTTCAGTGATGGGCAAATAAAGTTACATTCCTGCACATCTGATTCATATTAGGAAATTTTAAATCTAGTACAGTAGCTGCTCAGTTTCTTCATCTGCGAGTAACAATGCCGTCCTTAGAGGTATATCATTTGGACTGAGATAGCTAGGGCATGGAACAGGACTGGGTTATCCTGCTACTTCTGTATTG